CAAACTATTTCTCTCAACAACAGAACAAGTGGCCAGAAAGTCAGTGAGGATACAAAAGACTTGACCAATGCTGTCATCCAACTTGATCTAACAGACCTTCAGGGAACATTTCACCCTACTATGGCAGAACATACACTCTTTCCAGTGCACATAAAATGCTTACCAAGATGGAGCATACTCTAGGACAGAAAACAATTCTTGGTCAATTTGAAAGGATTTAAGTCATACAAAGTATGTTCTCTGACCACAAAGAACCTGGGGAAATCCCTAGATATTTGGAAACTAAATAGAACACTTTTATATAACCCATGGATTGCACAAGTAATCACAAGGGAAAATAGGAAGTATTCTGAACTGCATGAAAAGGAAAACATGCTATTTATACAAGATACAGGTAAATCCATTCTTGGAGTAGAATTTAAAGCACTGAACACCCACATTAGACAAGAAAAAGGAATCTTAAATCACAGCTTCAATCTTAAGAAACGTCACAATGAAGAGCATATACATCCCACTGTAATCAGAAGAGTGAAAATAATAAAAGACCAGAGCAGAATTCAATGGAATATGAAACAAAACCAATAGAGAAACATCAGTGACACCAAATGTAGATTTTTTTTTTGACAAGATCAATAACACTGACATATCACGAGTCAAGTGGGTCTGGTAAAATAGAAAACACAAATTACCAAGGTCAGGAATTGCAATTCTGCCACCACTACTCATTTAAAGGACAATGAGAAAATATTATGAATAACTTTATGAAAATAAATTTGACAACCTGGATAAAAATCTGAAAAATACGTTGAAAGATGCAAACTATCAAAGCTAATACTTACTCAAGCAGGGTAAGAACCTGAACAGGTTTGTATGTAGAAAAAAAGTTGTACTGTAATTTAAAAACTTTTTGTTAGAAAATTGCACCTCCAGATGGCTTCACTGATAAATCTCTCAAAAACTGAAGAAAGAAATGTTATCAACTCTACACAAATTCTTTCAGGATGTTCCAGAGCACAGAATATTCCCTAACTAATTTGATGAGACCAGCATTACTCTGATAGCAAAATCAAGAAATTACAAGAAAAGACCATAGGCTAATATCTCTCATGAGCATACATGCAAAAATCTAAAACAAAATTAGCAAATCAAAGCCAACAGTATATAAAAAGGATGATACATCATGACCAAATTAATTTATCCCAGAATGCAAGAAAAATCAGTCAATGTAATTAATCATATTAAAAACTAAACAGAAAAGATCATCTCAATAGATCTAGAAAAAGCTTTTCAGAAAATCTATATCCATTCATGATAAGAACCTACAACAAACTACAAATAGAAGGACGCTTTTTCAGCATGATAAAAATAATCTATAAAAACCCTACAGCTAGTATCACTCAATGATGAAAACCAGAATGCCTTCCACCAAAGATCAAAATAAAGCAAGAATGAGGATGCCTGGCTGGGGCAGAGCATGTGACTCTTGATCTCAAGGTCATGAGTTGGAGCCCCATGATGGGGGTAGAGATTACTAAAAATAAATAAAACATTAAAAACTGAATGAAGCAGGAAAGGCTTACCATTTGTATTCAACCTCATAAGATAGGTCCTGGCCAGTTCTTTCAGGCAAGGAAAAGAAACAAAATTCATTCACATTAGAAAGAAAAACAGAAAACTGTTTATTTGTAGTTGCGAGCATCATCTAGAGACCTAGTCCTCTGAAGTGTAGAAAAAGCTACTATAACTGGATTATCACAGTTTTTTAAATTTTTTTTAAAGTTTATTTATTTTTGAGACAGAGAGAGGCAGAGCATGAGCGGGGGAGGGGCAGAGAGACAGGGAGACACAGAATCGGAAACAGGCTCCAGGCTCTGAGCCATCAGCACAGAGCCTGACGCGGGGCTCGAACTCACGGACCGCGAGATCCTGACCTGAGCCGAAGTCGGACGCTTAACCGACTGAGCCACCCAGAGGCCCCTGGACTATCACAGTTTTGCGCGCGCGCGCGCGCACACACACACACACACACACACACACACACAAACACACACACACACGTCCACAGATGGCAAAAATATTTACATTTGTATTCAGTCCTATAGGAAATTTACTCTTTCCTATCCCTTTCTCTGCTGTTATATTACTCGATTGCCATGAACTTGGAGACATGGAAACAATATAGAGATTCCCCAGGAAACTCAGGATTTGAAAGCGTGAATGTCTCATCTGAGATACGGTAACTCCTTTCCTTCCTTCACTGGTTGTCCCCAAGACACACATAACCCCAGGGGCTAATGTTTACCCCAACGCTGAACCTCTTCTTCAGAAATAAGGCTGTTGTAAGAATGAGCAGAGTAAATACCAGCACATTCATCTACGATGCTCATAAAATGCTCCATTGCTGGGCTTGTGCTGAACCGATAACTGGCCCTGGATGTCTCTGAGCTCCTTGTCAACTTTTGGAGATTGAGAAGTTTCTCTGGGGCACCTGGGTGGCTCAGTCGGTTGAGCGTCCGACTTCGGCTCAAGTCACGATCTCACAGTTTGTGAGTTCGAGCCCCACGTCGGGCTCTGTGCTGACGGCTCAGAGCCTGGAGCCTGCTTTGGATCCTGTGTCTCCCTCTCTCTCTGCCCCTCCCCTGCTCATGTTCTGTCTCTCTCTGTCTCAAAAATAAATAAAAATTTTAAAAAAATTAAAAAAGAAAAGAAGTTTCTCTAGTTCCTTTTACCATAGCATACAATTTGAACCTGGCATTGTCAGACAGCATTTAACTCATCATGTTTTAAAACAGAGCTATTCCAAAACAGACCAAGGAAGTTCCCAGATCCCTGCAAAGATTTTCAGGGATGACAGAGTGCTGGATGGACAATCTCCCTCACACGCAAGGGGCACTTGAATAATACCGCGGGTGCCCGTGGGCCAGGCACCATTTCAGTCACTGAGGAAGGCGGAGTGAATAAAACACCATCCCTGCACTGGAGAAGCGTGAGCTGGATGGGGAAAACGGACACGTGAACAATAATGAAGAAGAATCGTGGGCGAGCGTGTACAGTTCTCTGGGAGTGAGGCAAGGAGAATATTTTTTCCAGGGTGAAATAGGGAAGGGGCAAGTGGAAGAGGTCACTTTTGAGATAAGGAAGGAATTCAAAACATAAAAAGCTCTACGGATTCCAGCAAGAATGTGTACATTTCGTGTATCTGCTTGCTTTGCAAAAGACAAAATTCCTGGTGCCTTCGGCTGACTGCTATTTTATCTGCTGGTGGAAGCCTGCACCTGTCTCTGCCAGAGAACCCACTGAGAGCGCTCACAAATACCCACAACCAAGCAGTGCTCTGGAGAACTTCCTTGAGCCAAACGAAGGAAGCCAATAATGGGCAGCCAGGGAGGGTGGGTACCGGAGGGGGAGCCAGCTGGTCGATGTGACCCGTCCCCTGAGAGTCCCTGTGGGTTCGGACTGAAGCTCCTCAGCAGTGAGAACCAGCCTGCGTCTTAGCTTTTCACTCTGCCCCCCTTGTCTCCCCCACTGCCCTTCTCCAAAGAGCGCTTTTCCAAACAAACAAACAAAAAAATCACTTGAAGAAGAATCCGGTCTCAGGCTCTGCTTCAAAGGAACTTGAACTGAAACACCAGCTCCCCTAGCTACACTTAAACTTTGTATCTTTAACCTGTAAACCACATGATCTCCCATCCACTTCAAACAAGGCGGACACCGCTAGGAAGTCAAACGCATTTTGTTATCGTGTGTATTTTCTTTGTTTCCTTTTCATGGAAAAAACAGTATATGTGTCTATAATTATACCAACTTTATTACAGCCAGCCTGTAGACAATTTTATTCTTTCTCTAACCTTTTCAAAATTACTATCGCTACTTGTCTTTTTCACTCATATGTGGAATTTAGGAAACGAAAGAAACAGAGAGACAAAAAAAGAGACTCTTAGAAACCGAGAGAGCTGTTGGTCACCAGAACGGAGGCGGGGGAGTGAGGGGTGAGACAGACAAAGGGGTCAAGAATCCACTCATCTTGAGGAGTACTGAGAAATGTGTAACATCAGTGAACTAGTATACTGCACACTTGAAACTAATACAACACTCTTGTTAACTATACATCGGTAAATAATTAAAATTAAATAAAATTTCCCCAAATGGCCATTGCTACTCCAGCTTCACTGAGGAATATTCCTTCTTCCTTCTCTAGTGGCACAACGACTCTGTTTCAGTTTCCTCTTACTGTGGTAGCCCAAGCTCTCTACATGTATCTTTATTGTTTCCCTGTCAAAAATGGTGACATTTTAAGGGAGGAAAGCACTTTTCCCAACCCCCTCTACTCTTTATTTTGAAGCTTACTCCCAGTATGTGTATCCATCTTGTAAACTGGCAAACATTTCTGGAACTAATGGAAAGGAATTCCAAAATGCAAAGAAATGATATTGTAATCATTATAAATGGCATTATAATTGTAATACACTATTACAATCACCACTACATTAATAATGTCACAACTGGAAAGTAGTCTCTAGCTCATCACGATCCTAGTAAAGTGAATCATAACATTTTCTGAAATAAATTGCATTGACTGCCACTTACATTCATTCATTATTCTAAAAATTGAATGAAATAATTATGAGGCTATAGTTAAATTTTTGCCCCATGTATTTTTTTAAACATTAACCAAAATGCATTAGAATAGGAGACGGTAATTAATGAAAAACCGGAAAAAAAAAAAAAAAACCCTTGAGACAAATTTTGATTATATTCATTTAGGGTTAAATATTTAATACTTGCTCATATAGTGAAAGGCATCAACTCTACACCACGTGGAAGTTTTAAACACAGTCTGTCTTAGATTTTTACACAGTATGCCTTACATATAGGAGCCCTGTAATAATTGAGAAGTTGTATCTTTAAATCAAAAGGACATCAGAGTTAAGGACAACAAGTTGAAATTACATATATTTTAGAAAATCACATGCTTTTCAAATAACTTCTGTATCTCTTACCTGAAGTCGGAACCTGCTCTTCTTCCATTTTCCGGAATCCCGGGATCTGGACACATGTCAGAGACCAACGCAACGCCTCCTTGACTCACTATAATAGAGAGAAACATTCTTGTAAATTTGGTTAGCTGTTGGGGAAATCCTCAGAGAATAAATTTACGTTAGGCAGGCTTGGTTCTTAGACCATCACTTTAAAAATGCGATTTATTTTAGAATTAAGACATGTTAGATATATTAAAATACATCTTTATTCTTATGTCTGAAAAATAAAGACTTCTTATCCAGTGAAAGGATGCCAACATTCTTTAGTCTGAGCCCTTCTTCTATTGACGTGGTCAAAATTTAATTTTAAGAAATACATTTTCTCCTTATGTTCAACTTTACAATAGGTCACAACTAACAGCATGATGGGACAAAAAGAACAGAATGGTAAAATGCCACAGTTTATATAGAAGAAAGCCTTCATCCACTCTCCACAGATGAAGCGAAGACACTAATTATTTGTTAATGCCCAGACGAGACATAATTTAAATAAAATTACCTATTATGTTTAAACATTGAACATGTTTATCATTGGACTAAAAAAAACGAGTATCATTCTTCTTTTACAAACATGCTGATGTATTTTCTGAATGTGTTCCATGAGGAGCCTTCCTCCTACTGGGATGCTGTACAATCACATAATAGTTTTTAAAGGACGCGCTTGCTTATTGGATAGAGTAGCTGCCACTCCAACACCCACCCCACCCTATCTAAGTTGTCTAATCCAGCCGAGGCAATTCCTTCTTTCTTTCCAGAAATTTGCTCAACAGGGGGCTTGGGACTCAATTCTGTGTAGTGAGACATGAGGGAAAGTCTGGAGCTGTGCCACTGGGAAGACATTCCAGTGAGCCAACAAAGACCATCTCTGTTTTTATTCTGGATCTTTCTGTGTCTGGATTTCGAATGCGGAATTGTTGGTGCCATATTGCTATGTTCCAAGAATGGAGGGTATATCATAAATGGAGGAGAAAATATATATACCAAGTACCTGGACCCTGGATATCATAGTTGAGACAGAAAATTTGCCAACTCAGGAACCTACCCTACCTTAACATCCTGTTGGGTAACTCGTGTTTCCTACAGCTTAAACCCATTTAAATAGATTGTTTCATTACCTATCTATATCTATAATATGTATGTTCAGATCATATTTATATATTTATAATACATATAAAATATTAACTATATATAATAGATTTATATATTTTTTTCTCCAATATATTTTAAGTGATTCCATGAGAAAAAATATATCTAGGTAGATACTGAAATTCTTAAGAATAGTATTAAAACTGTGCATAAAAAATGACAATAATCACAGCAAGACTGTTTTCATTGCTAAGTTAGAATGAAACTGGGATATGGACGTAATGCCTCTGTAAGTACAAATCTTACTAAAATATGTTAAGTAAATTTATTCTTAGGAAGCACTTCATCATTCCAAAATAATCTTCATTTCTGACAGGTTTTAATTGAGATTTTTAAATCATCTAACACTCATTTTGCAGTGGGGTGTGAGAAATGGATTCACCTCTGAAATCTTCTTTCGTATTTAAGTATTTGTTTTTCTCACTATCATTTAAAAATGATCCAGCGAGAAGGGCAGTGGCATCAGTAAGATGGTGGAACAGGAAGTTGCAGGCCCTCACCCCACCATGGAAACATCAAGCAAAAACTACAGACGACATAAAATAACTTTGTAGGAACTCTGGATACCAGTCAGAAGTCAACAGCAGTCAAGCCAACGCCCAAGGAGGAAAAGCCACATCCATGAGGGTAGGAGAATTCTTGAGGGTTTAACATGCCTTGCTTCGCACCTTCGTTCCTGACCTCATTCACGAGGGTGGAGAAGCAAAAAGAAGCTTGCTTGCAAATTCTGGCCTGTGGGCTGCATGAGAGACCGGTTTTTGTCTCGCCTGCCTTGGAGCTCATATGGGGAAAGGCAGCCAGAAGCCACGAAGGCGCTGGTGGACTGCTGCATTTGTGAAGTGCGAAGGGCTGCAGCCATGCAGGTATCTGGGGCCAAGAAGTTACAACGGAACATCTAAGATCCCGGGAAGGAGCTGGAGTGAGGCTCTTTGCGGTAGTAACATATCAGAAAGCAGCTGGATGGGGGTTTGGAAAAGCATACGCACAGACCCAGACGGCACACATTCCCAGAAGAGACCTGAGAAGACCTCAAGTCTTCGTGCCAGGCTAATCCTATGGCTCAGGGGCCCACTAATTTATTCATTTTTATTTATTTTTTAATTTTTTTAATTTTTATTTTATTTTTGACAGAGAGAGGCAGAGCATGAGCAGGGGAGGGTCAGAGACAGAGGGGGACACAGAATCTGAAGCAGGCTCCAGGCTCTGAGCTGCCAGCACAGAGCCTGACGCGGGGCTCAAACTCACGGACCGCGAGATCATGACCTGACCCAAAGTCGGACACTCAACCGACTGAGCCACCCAGGTGCCCCTAGGGGCCCACTAATTTATAAAGGTCTTCCACACCATTCTGCAAAAACTGGGAGAGGAAACTGTTTATTTCAGGTGAACATTTTTTCACAAAGATCACAAGTCATACAAAAATAGAAAGATGTGCCCAATTCAAAGGAATGAAATTAATCTCCAGAAACACTCCCTGAAGAAACACATGCATCAGGCTTACCAGATGAAGACTATAACACAACTGTCTTAAACAAGAATTTGAATAATGTCTGAATGCTTCTCACATTTGAGTAAAGATGCAAATATACAAATCCAAGGAGCTAAACACACTCCAAGTAGGATAAAGTCAATGCAACCCACAATGAGACACATACTCAAACTGTCAAGAGACAAAATAAAACAAATCTTGAAAGCAGAAAGAGAAAAGCACCCCATCACAAATAAGATCCCCAATAAAACCATCAGGCTTCTCAGGAGAAACCCCGTGGGACAAAAGACATTACGTGAAATATTTAAGGGCTGAAAGAAAAGCTCATGTTAACTGAAAATTCTCTACCCTGCAAAACCTTCCCCCACAATAAAGGGAAAATTAAGGCATAAACAGACCAAAAGAAAAGCAAACTAAAAAAGCAGAGAGAATTCATTACTAATAGATCGGCCCTATAAGAAACATTAAATGGAGTCCTTCAAATTGAAATGAAAGGGCACTAGACAATAACTCAAAACAAGATGAAAACACAAAAGTTCTCTTGTAAAAGGAATTATAGACAGAAATCTTTTTTAAAAACTCTATTATGTAATTTTGGTTTGAAACTCCATTTTAAAAATTTTCTACATGATTTAAAAGACAAAAGCAGGTTCCACATGAGAGTGAAAACATACCTAACAGAAGACCACAGGGGAGGGGAAGGGAAAAAAAAAAAAAAGAGAGGGAGGGAGGCCAACCATAAGAGACTCTTAAAGACTGAGAATAAACTGAGGGTTGATGGGAGGTAGGAGGGAGGGGAGGGTGGGTGATGGGCACTGAGGAGGGCACCTGCTGGGATGAGCACTGGGTGCTGTATGGAAACCAATTTGACAATAAATTTCATATTAAAAAAAAAACAAAAGCATAAAAATATTGCAAGTCTGTGTTAACAGATACACAATAAATAGAGATACAATCTGTGACATCAATAGCATGAAGTGGTGGTGAGGGCAGAGTGAAGGAACACAGTTTTGTATGTGGTTGAAGTTAAGTTGGTATCATTCTAAGATTGTCATAATTTTGGGATCTTACGTGTAATCTTCATGGCAACCTCAAAGAAAGTACCTATGGAATATGCACAACAGGAACTGAGATTGGGATCCTAATAGGTCACTACCAAACATCAACTAAACCAAAGGAAGATAGTAATAGGAGAAATGAGGGACCAAAAAAAGGCTGTAAGGCATGCAGGAAACAAATAAAAACGGTCAAAATAAGCGCCTTCCAATTAGTACTTTCTTTTGTTTTTATTTTTGAGAGAGAGAGAGAGAGAACACAAGCAAAGGAGGGGCAGAGAGAGAGAGAGACAGAGAGAGAGACAGAATCCGAAGCAGGCTCCAGGCTCCAAGCTGTCATCACAGAGCCTGACCTGGGGCTCAAACTCACAAACCATGAGATCATGACCTGAGCCGAAGTCGGATGCTTAACTGACTGAGCCACCCAGGCATCCCTCAATCTGTACTTTCTTTACGTGTAATCAGCTCCATGTTTTGGCTGAATTGTGTCCCCTTAAAATTCACAAGTTGAAGCCCTACCCCCAGTCTTTAAGAATGTGGCTGCATTTGGAGAGAGGGTTTTTGAAGAGGTAAGTTACAATAAGGTCATTAGGGTGGCCCTATTACAGTATGAGTGGTGACCCCATAAGTAGAGGATTAGGACACAGACACCCACAGAGGGATGACCTTGCAAAGACACAGGGAGAACACAGCCATCTACAAGTCAAGGAAAGGACCCTCGGAAGAACCGCCCCACCACCACCTTCATCTTGAACATCTAGCCTCCAGAACGGTGAGGCAATCCATTTCTGTTGGTTTAGTCACTCAATTTGTGGTACTCTTTTACGGCAGCTCTAGCTGACTAATATATTCCCCATCAAAAGACACAGATTGGCAGAATGGATAAACCAAAACAAACCAGGATACAACTATGTGCTGTCTACGAGAGATTCACTTTACATCCAAGGACACACAGCAGCTGGGAGCGAAGAGTTGTCTAATTCACAAGGCCAGGAGGTAGAACAAGCTCCAGGAGAACGGCCTGGGGAATTTTTCTTTCACATGTACAGAGTTTCAGGAGGGAAGATGAAATTTTTCTGGAGGTCTGGTGATCTGGAGGTCATCATGGTGGTGATGGATGGACAACAAGGCGAATGTACGCAATGCCACAAAACTGTACACCTAACAATGGTTAAAATGGTAAATTTTATGTTCTGTGTATCTTACCCCTGGGTGTGTATGTGTGTGTATTCCAGCAAGTTATAAATCTTTGACCTATTAGCACATCAACTTCTATCAGTCTGACGGTTCTAGAGTAGTCCCCTTTATCCACGTTTCACTTTCTATGGTTCCAGTTACCCGGGCCAACCATGGTCCAGA